TGTTCCAATAACAAAGGGAAAAATATAACACACTCCATCCAGTCTGTTTCTTCACTTACTTTAATGCTCTTCTTATTCTAATTAGTCTAAAAACACAAAATAGTATCACTGAGGTCAAGTTATAGCTGGGTTTAGAAGGAATGCATTAAACCGAAAGATGTTCAAACCAGTTTAGAGAAGTAAATCACAAAAGCTATTTAGTGGGCTGTTAGTGGTGACAATCACTAGGTAAATCCTAGCACTCTGGGAGGTCAAGGCAGGTGGATGGCCTCAGCTCAGAAGTTGGAGACCAGCCTGAGCAACGTGAGACCCTCTCTCTACTGAAAACAGAAAAACTAGTAGGCGTGGTGGCACAGGCCTGTTGTCCCATCTATTCAGGAGGCTGAGACAAGAGAATCACTTGAACCCAAAAGTTTGAGGTTGCTGTGAGCTGTGACACCATAGCACTCTACCCAGGGCAACAGAGTGAGACTCTGTCTAAAAAAAAAAAAAAGATACGTGAGTGGATAGGTATTATAATTCATTAAAAACTCAAAACAGCAACTAATATTCATCGACCTTTTACCCAATGTCAGGCACTGTGATAAACCATTATAAAAGGTCCTGTTGAAAGTATATTACCATTCTCACTTTACAGATAAGAAGAAGGAGGCCTAGAGTTAAGTGACTTGTTCACGGCCACTCAGGCCACTAAGGTGCTGCACTCCTCCCACTCCTAAGTAGGACTTACAAGTAAAGCTGCACCAAAAGATCACACAGAGATGCACACTGCCCAGGCAGGAGGCGGCGGGCACACGAAAACCTCAACTTCTGGCTTATCTGACTTTAGAAGAGAGAAAAGCTTTAAGCATTACTGTTTCCCCAAACTAGAAGACAAATATAATTCAGTTTCCCTATGCAAAGCAATCAGTGAAACGCCTCCGTAAAATCAACAACACGGCAATCTGTCACCTAGAATTTTCAAAGTTACTTCTTTTAATGCGAGGAAGAAGTACAAGAAAATGCTGGATTCCTGTACAAGGTGACAAGAGAACAGTGCAAAGGAAAATACTGCAAAGCTCCCCAAAGCTTGGGATCCTCACACATTCATCTATCTGCTCCTGAGCCAGAAAGAAAAGAAGGCCACCACTTTTGAAGAACTGATATTTAAAATAGTCAATCAAGCTTTGTGAGACCTGAAAGTCCTGGAATCTCAGTTTTCTCACTTGCAAAATGAGAATAACATATACCTCACAAACCAGCAGCAAAGACCGACTGGGAGAACTTAACATAAAGCACTGACCACGGTGTGGAAACACAGTAAGTGGTAGCTAAGCATCCTATGCAGTGGGAACTTCCGCCTAGAACTGGCTACCCAAACACACAGATTCCTTCACCACATGCCCTATTTCCTCCTCTAACCCCAGGTCTAAATACCTAAGACTCTTGCTCAGGCTACCACTGAGACATCATTTCCTTTAAAATGCTTTTCCCCACTCCTCAAATGGGTTAGGCACCCCTCCTTTATGTTCCCTTGGAACCCTGCAATTTATTGTGTTTCTAGCACTCAACATACTATTTGGGTAATTGTCCACTTACTAGCTTATCGCTATTGCTAAAATGTAAACTCTGTCTTATTCAAAGCCATATCCTCAGCACTTAACCAGTGCCTCTAACAATAAAGCACTCAGTAAAAACTATGAAATTATAGGAATCTATGAAAAAAATAAGTGGTGTGTACATAATTTTTAAAATTCAATCATTTTATTTAAATGTTTAAAAGGCAATAAAGAGTAACAAGAAATAACACTTAAAACGTTTTTTCTTGAAACATTCTAAAAGGTGAGAATAGGCAGAATAAAAGCAGGAAAGAAGCAAAAACAATGACTTCTATCAAAATATACACAGGCTACAGAAATAAAACAATTATGAATTACAGGAACTAAAGTATTTAATTTTGAACATATATAAATTTTGCCTGTGAAATATACCACCCTAATTAGATAAAGGATATTTATTTTTTTTAAAAAATGTACAATTACTACCATGCTTATTAGTAAAGTGTGAATGTTTCTTCCTAAATGTGGGACAAAATTAAGAGAGTTGCATATACCTTATTTCAGCCACATCTTCTCTTTTTACTCTCATAATACTTTTTTTTTAATGAAGAGAAACTCTTAAATTTAATGACATTAATTCTAATATGTTGGTCTTTTCTTTGATGGTTGTGGTTTTTGTGTTCTTGGAGAATCTTGCTCACCTTAAGGTTTTAAAGATACTATCCTGTGTTTGCTTTTAGAAGATTTACTGTTTCATCTCTCTCATTTATGTCAATCATGGCCCCTTTCAAATTAATTTTTGTGTCTGAGGTGATGATGTAGGGTTCTAATTGCATCAGCATTAATTACTGCAAAGATTAACCTATCTCCACTGAATTACGGTAATGCTTTCCTTGCAAAACCGGTTATTGTGTATGCCAGTTTCTAAACATTCTGTTTTGTTTCATTAATCTAGTTGACTACTGTTAATATGAAATCTCACTGTTTTGATCACTGTAGCTTTGTGGTAAGTCAAAATATTTCTGATTTGGCCTTGACTGTTTGAGGTCCTTGGCATTTCTACCTGAATTTTAGAAACAGCTTGCCAATTTCTACCAAAATATCTGCTTAGATTTTGACTGGTATTATGTTAATTTTAGATCTATTAGATCTATGGACCAACTTAGGAAGAATTACTACCTTAAAAATACTGATTCTTCGGCTCGGCACTTGTGGCTCAAGTGGCTAAGGTGCTAGCCACATACTCCTAAGGTGGCGAGTTCGAATCCAGCCCAGACCCGCCAAACAACAATGACGGCTGCAACCAAAAAATAGCCGGGCGTTGTGGTGGGCACCTGTGGTCCCAGCTACTTGGGAGGCTGAGGCAGGAGACTCACTTTGCTGTGAGCTGTGAAGCCACAGCACTCTACCCAGGGGGATAGCTTGAGGCTCTGTTTCAAAAAAAAAAAAAATACTGATTCTTCCATGAACATGGTATAAACTTTTCATTTATATAGGCTTTTAATTTTTCTCAGTAGTGTTTTCTTTTTCTTTAGAAGTCATGCATATCTTTTGCTGGATTGTTACAATGTATTTGATTTTTTTAATGTTATATTATAAACTGCATTTTTTGGTTATTAAATTTTAATTTCCAATTCTTTGTGGCTTATATAGAGAAATGTAGCTGATATTTGTATATTTCCCCTTTAACCACAAATCCTGCTAAATTCATTTAATAATTTTGACAGTTTCTATTCTCTTTAAAGAATTTGTAGATTGTTTCTGCATTTGCAATTTATACATACTGTATTGTGTCATCTGTGGATAATAGTTTTATTTCTTATTTTCCCAGTAAAATTTTTATACATTTTATTTTCTTCTTTATTGTTGACTAAGATCTATAACCCAGTGTTGAATAAAAGTGGTAAACATCTTAATTTTATCCCAAATTTAGGAAGAAACGTTCAGACATTACTAATAAGCATAGTAGTAATTTTAAGTTATTTATAGTTCTTATGTTTTTCAAATAGAGCTATTTGGGGGATAACCCATAAGGAACTATATTTTGACAGACTATACATAGTATTATGCAGGCTGACAATTAAGTTCACAAACTCATCCTAGAACGAGTGCTATATGCCTCACTGCTGACCATCACTGCAGTCACCTCTGAAGTCCTCCCCTTGGGAAGCTGTGCACCAATGCCAGCACCTCGTCCACCCTTTAGAGTGATTCTGGAACTCTTTTTCTGGAATGGCCATCCAAGCTGTTGCCACATTACCCTTAGTGTCTTACTTTCAGTATTTCCTTTATCTTCAGGTAACAAAAAAAATCACTGGTGACTAGGGAGGGTGTTCCAATACAGTTACTGGTTCACTGGCTAAAAACTCCCTCACACAGTGTGAAGTGACCTGCACATTGTTGTAATTCAAAAGCCACATCTTTCTGGCTCAGAACCCATAGCACTGTGGTTACGGCACCAGCCACATACACCAAGGCTGGCTCGAACCCAGCCTGGGCCAGCTAAACAACACTGACAACTGCAACAAAAAATAGTCAGGCATTGTGGCAGGCGCCTGTTGTCCCAGCTACTTGAGAGGCTGAGGCAAAAGAATTGCTTAAGCCCAAGAGTTTGAGGTTGCTGTGAGCTGTGACACCATAGCACTCTACCGAGGGCAACAGTGAGACTCTGTCTCAAAAAAATAAAAGCCACACCTTTCAGATGCCAAGATTTTCAGTTAAGACTCTCCTAACCGTTTCTCTATCAATGTTTACTTGGTCTGCTATGCTTCTCACAGACAGCCAATGATTCTGACACATAAGTTGATAAATTTTTGCAATGTCTTCATCAGTCCTGCTGGTTACCGGCCACCCTGACTTCTCTTCATTTATCCATTTGCACTGTCCAAACATTTAATCCATTTGCCCACTGTCCTTTTCTTTGGGGCATTATCCCCACAAACTTGAACTAACACATCCATGATTTCACTTCCACTCCTCCAAGTTTAACAAGAAACTTAATGTCTGTTCCTCTAATTCAAGCTCCTAGATTCTCGCAACAGCACACAAAACCACGCAACAATAATGAACACCACTCAGCAGACCTCACTACACGTCAACAGGAACGAGCTGTGAGACACTGATACACCCTGTCATGAAATCGTAATGACCTGTTTGTGCAGTGCTGCCAAGTAAACACACGGTGGCAAGTTCACAACTTAATTGTCAGATCGTGTGGCTGTATTCTAACAGGATGTCTTAGAATTAAATTGCATGATCAAATTTCAGTAAGGACCACAATCTAGTATGAATTAGTTTATTTGAAGATTTTTAAATACTACCATTAAAAAATAGCTAGTGGGTTTTCAAGCAAGCTAAATACAAATTTAAAACATTTAAAATTTTTTTAAAACTTAAATTCACTGTCTCATATAATTCAAAATCCATCTTATCAGCGTTGTTTTCAATAAACCCATACCGTACCTGATTACTACCATGGCCAAAAGGAGTACCAGACAAATTAGTGGTTATACTGTGCAGAATAATTTCACCACTAAAAGATCCAGAAGCAACATAGCAATCATTCCAATTGTATGTTACACAAGTGACTTCACTTTGATGATCCTGAAAGAGAGAAATGAAAGTAAATGCACTGCCCCACGACCTTCCAACAGCCCATTGTCATGTCTTTGTAAATAATAAATATTATCTATTTGTCAATCTAATATTTTTAACATTTTCCCCAAATAACTTTAAAAAATTATTCACTTGAATAACTATCTGATGAATACCAAGTCTATTCAGGAAATGTTTTTTTTACATAACCATAATAATGATCCAGGCACTCTGAAAAAAAAAAGGCATTATGGAAAGGTAATTTTCTACAAAGCATTACATCTACCTTAAAGATTTGCTTCCACTGACAAATAACATGCATTACAAGTTGACTACGATGAGAACTCCTGCCCTTGAGAGTATTACTGCTCAAGTGAGAAGACAGGACATTTATATCATGTGAAAATGGCACAGTGAATGCTAAATGAGCGGTAGAGGCAGAGTGTCAGAGGAAAGAGAAAGATGTCACTGGGAACCCAGCTGGCAGAGGAAGCTTTAGGGGAGACATGAAGCTGGAGTTCAACCTTAAAGAAAAGATAGGAGAAAAGTCACAGGGAGGGGAGAGAAGCCAGACATTGCAAAATGCAGCACTGAGAACAACAAACGGGCAAGTCATGGCTGGAAGATAATAACCAGCGGCTTCTTCCATTTGCTGTGCACCTGTTAGTGCTGGGAGCCTGAGAGGCAAGGTCGTTCTGTCCATTTTACAAATGAGATGCATGAGGTAGCAGAAGTCTAAGAAACCTGTGCAAGGTCATGTGACTGCTCAGTGGTAAGGCCAGGTGCAGTCCCACCTCAAACTCCAAAGCCTCCACCCTCCAACTATACCGGGTTGCCTCTCAAATCCAAATGGGAATGAATCCACCTTGGGAAAATAAAACTGCTGGGTTTCAAACAAACTGAGGGCACAAGGGCTGTGTTTCCAACATCAAATTAGAGAGATGTCTAGCAGAAGCACAGAACAGTGATTAGAGTTCAGAGGACAGTTTTCAACAGTTTGGTGCCACATCTCAGTAATATAAACAGACTACTAACCTCTATATCCAATAATATTAGATTTGGGTAATACCATGTTTCCCCGAAAATAAGACCTACTCCCAAAATAAGCCCTAGCAGGATTTCTATGCATTTGTTAAATATAAGCCCTATCTGATAATAAGATCTAGTGATGGGCTTGGCTACGCAGCGTATCTGCATAGCCACGCCCTGCATTTCTGCGCATAGCGGTAAGGAAGACTGGAATACCTTTTATCTGCCACAGCTCCTTTCTTCCAGCTCCTTTCTCCCAGCCTTTCCCACTTGTGCATGTGGTAACCCTGGTCACAGGCATCCTATTGCCCACGTGTGACCAGCTAGGGGAAAGGAGTTCAGGCAGCACTAGCACCAGTCCTACCAACAAGGTCGGCTCCCCCTGTCAGGTTCCAGAAGAAGATGACTTAACTGTATTTGAATAAATGTAGATTGTTGTATTATACTTAACAAAAATAAGACATCCCCTGAAAATAAGCCCTAGTGTGTCTTCTTGAGAATAAATATAAGACAGTGTCTTATTTGGGGGGAAACACGGTAACAAGAATAATCACTGCTTTTCCTTTTCAAATGGTCCTTCATGCACTTTCAGAGATTTCTTTACATTTTATTCCTTTTCTAAATCAAAGAAACAAATGTTATCTTGAGACAGCAACAATAAATGTTTGATAAAAAGAAAAAAGGAGTAACAGACATTTGGTGCATCATTCCCATTTGGGTCATTAAGAACAAGGGGTCCAGGACACATGTCTATGACTTTCTAAAGAGCTAGGTGTCCTCCTTAATTCAACTATGGAAAATAAGTTATTCAGTAAACATTTACCAAGCACCTAACAAGTGCCAGAAATTGTTAAAACCCCAGGGAGACGGCTGTAGAGGAGGAATGTAAGGGTGAATAGTAGATTTCCCACTATTACAATTTGTCACATACTCATTAATGGAATGAGTGCAGGAACAAAGCAGTCCAAGGATTTCAAACAAGGAAAAGAGAAAAAACTTTCAGGACTGACAGGGAAAGCTGAGAAAGGAAAAGTGAGCAGAATTTTGCCACACAGGGAGAGGGTGAGTGAAATTCCTGACATGTGACAATGTGTGACATAACCAGCCACGGTCTAATCTCTTCTCAAACTCTCTAAGACTCCCTATTCATTGCAGCTATATCCTCTAAATACCTTGGATTCAAATATTTCATAATTTAAAACAATGCGTCTCCGGACTTGCATTTCATTTTCATTATTAGCTGTTTGACATGGAACCAGTTACTTAACATCTCTGACTCAGTTTCTCTACCTGTACACAGGAGGAATACGACCTACTTTGCAGAGTTGTTGACATAAGCAGAATAAATATCTGTAGGCACGGCAGTTGTCACATAAAAGGACTCAAATAAAAAAAAAGTTAACTATTCTCATTACTGGCAACTTTTCAACTGCCCACGTCCTATCTTTTCCATAGCAAAGATTTTAGAGTTAAGACTCTTGAAAGCTTAGCTAAACCTAAAATAATGAACTTCTAAAGGTAATACTTAAACAGCAATTATAGGATCATATTTTAACTTACCTGGGAGAAAATAATTCTTCTATATACCATTTCTCTAGTAAAAATTAACTCAATGACATTAAGACATATACCAAAATGACAGTGATGTCTGGCATTTGCTACAAAATAATCCTGAAGTGGGAGGTCAGAGAGTATGTAAGGGCATCGATAAAACCACATTGAACATGAGTTGATCACTGTTGATGTCAGTAAACGACACAGCTGACGGGCTAAAGGAAGGTCTTTCTCTGTATGAATACATACAGATGTTTACATTTTCCATTATTAAGACAAAAATTAAAAATAATGTTAAAGATCAACTTCTAAGTAGTACAAAGACCCAATAACAAAAAATAGAATTCAAAAAAAAAAATCATAACCAGAGACTTTCTTATAATGAATATTTTTACATTCTGAAACTGCAAAAAGCTAACTATTTAAAGAAATTGTAAACAGTAAATCATCTTACAAGATATTATGTTACCAAGTTAAAAACACACACGGAAATAATACAAAACAACAGCAGCCAAATATACCACAGAACTAAGAAGCCAAATCCCCAACTCTGCTTGCTATGCTAAATACCATCACCCTAAAACCAGTATCCTCCTTCCCAGAGAGCCTTAAAAAATCCCTGATGATGGCAAACCATCATTCAGGAAAAAAAAATAAAGGAACTCGTTCATGAAAGCAAGACCAGAACTAAGTAAAAAAATAAAGAGAAAGTTTTAAACACTAATAATGCATTAATGACATACATGGAAGAAAAAAGACAAAAAGGAGTTTTTGGTTAAATAGCATCTTTATTTTCCCTGACAAATCTCACTCCAATTCTGAAGCAGTTTATTTTTATCGTAAAAGCTCAAAATTAAAAGTTTGGTTACTACTCTAAACACATTGTAAGATTCCCGTATTTTGGTAACGATCAAAATAAAAACCAAATTGCTTACCTTAAGAGATCGATGAACTCTTTTTGCTTTCAAATCCCAAATATTAACAGTGTTATTAAGGCCTCCGCTTACCAAATACATGGATGTAGAATTTAAACTGACACATGTCTGCTTTTGCTATTAAAAAAAAAAAAAAAGTTACTTTAATTTAACAGAGCCAACCCAGGTCCCATCCAACATTTGGAGAGCATATGACAAGTTATTTGTAGAATAAACCATGCTAATATTTGTACTAAAGAGTCACCTTTCATCATCATCTTTCATACGAATCCAACAGTTTATAAGCAGATCAAAAAAGCTTCAAGGAAATCAAACACATTCTGTTCTCTTGCACAGAACGGTGACAACAGAGGAAGCTTAGAAAACACCTGGGGGTCTTGGTCTCCCATCACGGGCTGCTAGCCCTTCATACCTCCTCTTGATAAAACCTTCTCTTGTACTTCCACTGAGTATCTTAAATTAAAATCAATTCGTTGTCTGACACAGAACAAATTCTTTAACATCTCTGTTAGCCCAGAAAATGCTAAAGATAGAGGGGTAGTTAAAGAATTTCTAGTATAGACTCCTCATTTTACAGACGGGGAATGTTCTTTAAAGAGGTCAAGATACTTGCCCTAAATCTCCCCAAAATTTCCCTAAATTATGTCTCAAACATATTATCAAAAAAACCTGACTCACATTCTTCCTCATCTCTGTAAAGACACCATCCATCCAGTCTCTCAAGATAAAAATCCAGATAGTGCTTGATTCCTTGTTCTCCCTCCCCTCCAATCTATCAGTAAGTTCCATAAATGCCAACCCTAAAATAACTCCCACATGGGCCCCTCTTTATCTATAGCTACTACCAGTACTAACCCAACTATGGCAGCAGCCTCCTATTCCATTCCCCTGTTTCATTTCCACCTCTGCTTTCATACGTCGCATCCTCCATAAGTAGGGTCAACTCAAAAAATATAAATCAGATTGTGTCTCTCCCTTGTTTAAACATCTTCAATGGCTTCCAACTACATCTACAATCAACTCCAAACCCATCAACCTGGCTTTCCGAGCCCTACTCCTCTGGGCCTTAGTCTTACCATCTTCTTTCTCATCCACTAACCCCAAAGCCACACTGACCTATTCCTTAAACATACTACCACGTGTTTGCCTCATGGCTTCTCCATAGCTGTTCTCCTTCCCTGGAAAGCTCAGTTCTCTGAACCCTAACTGGATGGCTTTTCCTGATCAACATATAACGACTTGAATGCCATCTCTTCAGGAGACTCCCTTGACCACATAAGGTAACTTGCTATCGCAATATCTAATTTTAGTCCTTTCTATAACAACTTATCAACTTATTTGAATATTTGTTTACTAGTTTATTGCCTGTCTCCAACAGAATGTCAGTTTCATTAAAGACTATATCCATATTCAATAAATAGTTATAAAATAAATGGCTAAAGATACAGAGGTTATCTATGAATGTCACCTATGTGGTGGTGCCATCACTAACTAAGCTACACAGAACGTAACATGGCACATTCTTTCCATTTACCTACAGTTGCACTACAAAGTTACAGTAATTGTTCTTGTCTCTAGTTTAATGCCATGGGGGTTGGGGGGAATCACTGAAATGAAGTCCAAAGGAGGTATTATATGACTCAGTTAAAAGTTAAAAGGCAAGCCTTGTAGATTTAGGCTTCAGCAAGTCATCTCACCATTCTGAGCTTCTGTTTCTCCATCTGAGACATGAAAGGTGAGGACTAGATCTACTGTTGTTACCACACATCTCAAAAACATACTCTGCCCAAGAGAGTTCTTAAAGGGGTGTGGCTAGTCCCTGCTGACTACCAACCCCCACCCCCAAAGGCTTCTTCTAGTTCTGAAATTTGGACCAAGAGTATCAACTAGCATGTATAAAAATAGCAGGATGCACATTACATCAATGTTTCAGTATAGTTGCCACAATTCTTTTGCAGATACCATTCTAGGAATTGACTTTGGTTTATTAGAATCTGGTTATCCCTGCAACTCAGGACATTTTGCTAAGAACAATCAAAATGACCTCTCAAGAAAACAGATAAGGATGGTGACCCTCAAAGATCACTATATTGGGATTCTAAGTGTTACAATGACCTACAATTATTATTAAGGAATCAGAACAAAACCTGTACTTACAGCTGTAGATAGAAGATCTTTTGTTTATGTTAATATATTATTAATGTAGCTAATGAATTTAAAGCATTAATGGAAGCTATGCAGTTATGACAAGAACTCTGTACCCCCAAGACACAACACAAGAGGTACGACTTTTTAAATCTTAGAACAATAGCTGGTTAAATTTCTAGGTTATTTAATAGCATATTATATCCATAATAATACTTTTAACACCAGTCTCCTTAAAGAGGTAAAATAAAAGATCAAAAAAATAAACATGACCCTAAAGTTCCACTGTTAAAGTAATTATTTTAAAATAAGTAGGAATAAATTTTATTTTCCCAGTGGAAAAGCTCTAATACCTCAAGGAGCACAGGAGTAACAGGTCTTGAAAGGACTACAGAGAAGAGGTCATCAAAACAGTATGTTCAAAAAATTATTAAGAAAAGCAAAAGAACCAATGCTTACAAAATATTTTAATAAGCGAATTAATGTAAATTCAGTATCAGAACCAAAATGATCTCACATTTAACCACCTGCATGAGTACTTAACTGTACGAATGAGGCCTAAGAAGTCTAGCAGCTAACTGGGAACATTCACAAAACCCTTGGAATTCTGTCACACCTGTCAATGTCTTTTTATTTTTATTTTTTTTCCTTTTCTTTGTTGCTTTGCTTTTGAAATACTGTTTTGGTTTTTGTTTTTTTTTTAAATTGATATCCATGACCATTTTACAAATTAATTTCCTGGGAATAAATATTGTCACAAGCAACATAATAAAAAAATTTAAGTCTTTTTTTTTCTGTCCATTCTAGTGTGTCCTAAAAATGTAACTATCTTAACATTTCATTTGCTGACATTTTATTGTTTTTTTTAATTATTATTTTTTATTAAATCATAACTTGGTACACTGATGCATTTATGGAGTTCAATCAATATCTTTTTAATACTTAAAAAAGAAAAGGCCCCAAACACTGATTTGCTGATTCCAAGGTATCATGTACACAGGCAGCACATACAGTGGTGGAGATGGAAATCAGAACTGTGTTGGTATCGACATTAAATTCAGCAAATGACTGTTAACCATCTACGACAGGATCCAAGACCTGAAGTGACTATGATGCTTTGCCTGCTGTTCAAGAGTTCAATCTGCCTTTTATCAGCCAGGGATGTCCTCTGCTTCAACGTTACTGAACTCAGTTCGAGGGGCCTCAACTGCATTTTTACCCTCAGCAGATGTTCTCACTGCCCCAGCCTCCACCTGGGGGAGCTGAGATTCAAGTCAGTCCCACTGGACACCTTTAGGAAAAGATTGATAAACAACATGAGCCCTGTTTAAATTAGCTGAGCTTATAGTTTATTGTCCTGTTTTCTTTTAACAGAGTTAAAATTATGACAATTCATAATAATTTAGAATCTGTGATAAAAACTTTGACACTAAAAAAAAAAAAAAGAAAACCCCATCCATTATTAATGTTTTTACTTAGCCCTTATCCTATTTTAAAAAGCAATAGCTTTGAAGGGGTAGGTGCTACTGTAACTCAAGAACTACAACTGGAATTAATCCCTCAATTAGCAGGATTAATTTATAAAAACAAAAGGATAAGAGAACAGTAGGCAACGAGAGCTTCATTTAAACCCCTGGGAACAAAGCTCATTTGACAAAGCCATCCTGTCCAAAGAGGGCCTGGGAGGTTCAGGCAGGTCCCTCAGGAAGAAGTGGACAATCTGAAGCAGAGGGCTGCCACAGACGTGGGTCTTTTAGGGAGGATTTAAGCCTGAGGTCAGTAAGGTAACGTGTGCCATTAGGGTTCCATAGGATCAGGTCAGTTGAGCGACCTGGGTGGGCACAGCCCTAAAACAGGCAGCAGCAGGGACCTCCCACAGAGGGAAAATAAGCACCTAGTGACTAAAATCTCAATCTTCAACTGTTCCTCTAGGGTCCAATATTGTTTCACCTAAAGATGCTTCAATAAACACACATACCTTACCTTTAAGTATTACTGTATTATTTTAACAACACTTTCAAACACCTTTATATTTAGTTGCCAACATAATAAACAAGAATTACCACTCAAGCAAACCCAAGATTTTATTTCTCTAAATCACTTACCCCTTCAGCAAGCTCTAAAAGTGGAAAAGGTTTACTTTTGCAACTGGAAACAACTATTTTGTCGCCACTAGAAGATGCTGTCACTAGAAAGTTATCTAAACGAAGAGTTAGGGAACATCAAAGCATCCGTGAGCATCCACAGCATTAGACTGTCATTGTAAGAACCACAGTTCTAACAGCAAACACACTAAGAAGACAAGCAATGAATACAGCTTACACGAGGTTTTAAAAATGGCTCAGGTTACTAATTACTAAGACCAATTCTTCTTGTTACTACTACAGGGAAGAACTGTCCTTTCTGGCTGTGCTATCACTTGAAAGCTATTTAACCATGTGAAATACTACTCCATTTTTAAAGAGTAGACCAGAAGGTCTAATTTTATCCTTTAAGAATGAGCTCATGATAAAAGCAGCATCAGCAACTATCAGTCAGCCTTTAAATCTGTGCAAACTGTTCAAGATAGTTACTTGTTAACCCAGCACTTGGTACCAATTTAAGATAGGAAGCAAATATCCACACTAGTCTTTCATCGTTCCACTGAAAGAAAAAGAAAGGTTAATATGTATTCAGGACTAGAATGTCTGTGATAGAATGATTTAATCTTAAACGTATTAAGAATGAATATTACGGTAACTATAGCAAATATGTAAGTGTGGTTAAGTAGCAACTGTTCATGTTATAGAAGAGTTTTGTTTTAACTTTATTTTTAAAGTAATTTGAATTAATATTAATTAAAAATTACATTTTCATTATTTTACAGAAATTGTTAAGTGAAACAATCAGTAGACACAGAGCAGTGTATTTTAAAACTAAAGTCACTGGGTACAATAATATAACCAAGAGACTGACTGTGAAATTAAAATATCAGAGGTTTAAACCTATGCCTTTCAGCAAGCCAAGTTTGTGAACAAACGCAAGGGAGAAAGGTAAATGTTACACTCAGAATCCTAACTGCATTACTTTGGGATGGTTTGCATAACATTCAGATATTCTGTGAACAGAAAATGAATTAAAACTGTATCATGATACATGACTCAAACAAAAGCATTTCTACCTAGACGTTACAACACTGAGACAAATAAATCACTTCTCTTTCCTTCACCTCTTCCACTACCGTTCTCCTTAGAATATAGAAAAGGACTGAAGACATGATGAATGGATAATCTAGTTACTTTTTAAATTTCTCTTATAGTTTTAGAAGTCACGAGAAAGTGAGGAATATAACCTAACGGACCAAAAACAAAAGAAAAAAGAAAGAAGGAAAGCTGACCTCCCCGGCACCGCTCATTAACCACATCCTTGAAATCTGTGCATCAAGGACTCTAAGCTGCTGAGTCCAAGAACTTTTTATTCTTCAGATTTTCATCTCCATGGAAGGAATCAAACGATTTGATGAAGGCTTTCAGTGCACATCTACTTTTACAAGAAAACTGTACAGAAATAAGACCAGTTTCCAAAAGTCATACACCACGTTTTCATAGCCACATCAGTTTTTTGTGTTTTGTTTTGTTTTAAGACAAGAGTCTCACTTTGTTGCCTGGGTAGAGTGACCTGACATCATAGCTCACAGCAACCTTAAACTCTTGGGCTCAAGTGATTCTCTTGCCTCAGCCTTCCAAGTATTTGGAAATATAGGCACCTGCCACGATGCCTGGCTATTTTTTAGAAACAGGGTCTCACTCCTGCTCAGGCTGGTCTCAAACTCCTAGGCTCAGGCAATCTACCTGCCTCAGCCTTCCAAGTATTTGGAAATATAGGCACCTGCCACAACGTCTGGCTATTTTTTAGAGACAGGGTCTCACTCCTGCTCAGGCTGGTCTCGAACTCCTAGGCTCAGACGATCTACCTGCCTCAGCCTCCCAGAATGCTAGAATTATAGGCGTGAGCCACCATGCCCAGTCAGCCATGTCAGTTTTGTTGATAGACTACTAAGTAATACATTATAAATTCTAACTTCTGGTAAAACTCCCTGGAACAAAAATAAACCAATGAACAATTCCTCTAATTAAGAATTGCTACTTTTCAGGTAGTGCCTGTGGCTCAAAGGAGTAGGGCATGGGCCCCATATACCAGAGGTAGTGGGTTCAAACTCGGTCCCTGCCAAAAACTGCAAAAAAAAAATAAAAAAGAATTGCTGTTTTTCTCTTATACAGTAACAGGAAAAGTTAAACTCTAAACAGAATGAAAATCTAAAAGTAGAGAGCACTTCATACGTTTGTTACTCTCTTTAAAACATTTTCCCTACTGTACATCTAGAACAGCAGTTCTCAACCTGTGGGTCACAACCCACAGGAACTGTATTAAAGGGCTGCGGCATTAGGAAGGTTGAGAACCACTGATCTAAAGAGTCCTTCAAAAATGTCATTTCACCAGGAGTTTGATTAATACAGCACCAAAATAATTTATTTTATTACTTTAATACAACATAAGTAATGATAAAGACGTAAATTTAATTCAGTAAGAAAATTCACTTTTGTTAGGTACTTGCAAGAATAATTAGGTTGGCATAAAAACGTCTTCTGGTATTCTTGTTCACACACATCAGTCATATTTAAAAACTTTGATATTTTTCCTTTCATCAGGACATAGAATATCAATATTTTGGTACTGATAAAATCAAACAGATGTTAAAACTTCACTTGTTGTTTAAGAAATAATGCAGACGTCTCACAAAAGAACAGTTTCCAACATACAAATTATATAGGACATCTTCATAGAAAAGGTGATAAGAGCGTTTTATTTATACCAGTGGGTCTCAACAGGGGGTGATTCTGGCAATTCTGGAGACATTTTCAGTTATCCCAACTGAAAACAACTAGCATCTAATGAGCAGAGGCCAGGACAGCTTCTCAGCATCTTCCAATGCACAAGAAAAGCCACCACAACAAATAATCTGTCCCTAAATGTCAGCTGGGGTTCAGACACTCTAGTTTACAGGTGTCACTCGCTCATTTATTTGACAGGAACTCATCAAGACAGGGAGGATGTCCACCATTAACATATAAAGCTTAGGAAAAGTCAACCTAGACAACTTTACTATGTCCGTTTAGGAAATGCTATTTTCATCATGCATAGAAAGGAAAAGAAATACAGAAAATTTATCAGTGAGATGGGGACGCTGGACAATTTTTTATCTCTTCCCCATCTTGCTCCTAACTTTGAGTTCTGTCTTTAATTTCCAAATCAGATCCACAAATATCCTAATGTAGAAGCAAAAACCCATTACAAAATCTTTCAGGATTATTTCCACCTACCTTATTCCTTTTGGCTTAATAACCAACTTAATAACATAACTAATTCTAAGATATAAATCTAATATACATCTTTTTTAAATAGGAATGTTTCTGAATGAAGTTGGTTGCCATTAACTTCTTTTAACAGAAGCAACAGAGAAAATCAGAGCACATTCACATGATACATTGTTTTATATACTATTTCATTTTGTCCATCTTTGGTAACAATGCAAAACATATTTCTCATTATGAAAAAAGTTACAGTGACACCAGCTGCTACTGGTTGCTTCCTAATAAAAAGTGGTTAGTTAAAATTTTTATGAAAGGATACTATTGCTGCTCCAACAGATTGAGCTGACTCCATGTGTTGAGGTATGTGGGTTGAATTTATCCAACAACGTCATAGATGAAGCATCCCATATTTTAATATCATCTCCTGATGAAGCAAATCTGAGGTTTTCCTGCATGACTGCACCTACGAAGAGTTTAAAATAATATATTTTAAAAACAAGGATAGGCCAAAAAAAAAAGTTAAAATGAATCATCTATCTAAAAAAAGTGATTCTACTCATCCACTTTTGTTGCAAACAGCATCCTGGCAACATAGTAGTTGATGTGATTACATCCTAAAACATACATCACATCACATTCTCTTAATTGACCCTTTCAACTCCCCACAGCAATTATAATGAAATCCAACCTCCTTAGCTGCCCTACATGACCTGGCTCCTGTGTAATTCTCCTCCCCTTTTTGGAGGGTGTGGGGAGACACCAGTTGCTGGACACATCAGCCTTCTTTCTATTTCATGCAACAAGGCAGGTCATATCACTTTGGGATCTTTTCATTTGCAGCCCTCCTGCTTGGAATGCTCCTCCCCACCCCAGATTTCCCATGGTCATCTCATTATCATTCTCCAAAAGGCCTTCACTGACCACCCTGGCTAAATCAGCCCCTCACCAGTTACCCTATATGCCAATACCTGATTTCATTTTTTCATGGAATTTTTCACTTCCTACTACCCAAAATTCCTATTATTTTCTCATAATAAAACTTTGGTATGCTTCCCCATACCAAAGTTTTGGAACTTTCCTGGCACACAGTAGGTACTTAAAAAATAACTGTTTATAAGTAACTTTAAAAACACATGTGATACACTAGCATTCTACAGGTCAGAATCCAGATCCAAAATTAGTAATATAGCCAAAGGATAAGTCCCTATATCAATACTTAGTCTATAATGCCCTCACTCATGTTATTTATTCATGGTAGACAGTTCAAAAACCATAATCCTAGCAAGGTGATTTGGCAAACCGAGGCGGTCTAGAAGACAGGTGCCAAAGTAAGCTGCTCTAGACAAATACGTGAATAGAAGCAAGTAGTAATGGATGACAGAAGAAAAAAAAAAATCCCCAAAATACACAGGAGAAAGGGGAAGGGAAAGGGTATAGCAATGTCCCCAGCCACACCTTCCTCCTCTTAGGGAAGACAGGTCCCCAAGTCATCAACAAAACATCACACTCCAGTATACACTGTTTTTTGGAGGACAAGCTAAAGATATAATAAATTACAGAAAACGTTCATTCTCAAGTAACAAAAAAAATGCAATGTGTGTAAAAAAATTAAAACTTTTGTTAACTAGAATATTCACTCGTGTGCTTCATTATGCTCCATTCATGTGATAAATACAGTGCTACTAAAAGCATTAAAGTTGCCTACCGAAACAAAGACATACAATGTATGATTTGGTGTCTTAAACACGTGTAACAAGTGCCTTCGTGGTTCCCAACTCAAGGAACAATGAAGTGCTCGAAAGGCCATCTCTAAGCCCAGTAAACACAACCGCTAGAAGCAGTCTAGAAGCAGTCTAGAAGCAGTCTACCATAACACTGCATCACGACAGGTGAGCAGTGGGGCACAGTGGGCAATTACTAAGCCTGGGCTCAGAACATGTAGGGTCAAACGACCTGTCCCAACTCAGGTGTCACAACTGACCGAGTCACTTAGGGTTTGTTTTCTTCTTTGAAAGCGGAGCGAGAAAGAGGACCATCTGTCCACCTACCATCTGAGAGCTGACCACATAGTAGGGAGGGGCATTAATTGCCATCAGTCCCTTAAAGAGGGTCCCATGGAAAGCGAGCAGTCAGGTCAGGATACAAGGCACGGGCTGGAGGGCCCGGTGTGGGGACCAGCAGCATGGGCTACTGCAACGCTCAGCTGAAATAAGTTTTCCAACTTTCATTCACCCAAATGCATTTTACTTGCAGGAGAACTGTTCAACTGGGGTTACCTCGTAATGAATATGCTTTCGACTGCCTGCCAAGAGGCGAGTTTGAGCTTCACGAAAGGGAAGACAGACTTGTGCAGAGCAGGCAAACTTCGCGGAGCAGCGCGCCCGGCCGCCGCCAGCCCACCCCGCCGACCCGGCCGTCGCTCCCGGGGCACTTCCGCGCCGAACGCGCCGCCGCCCTGCCCGGCAACCGCCCGGAGCGCGAAGCCCGGGACCTCCGCCCCGCCCGCGGTGGCCGAGGGCAGCCGGGGGCCCGGAGGGAGCAGGGACGCGGCGGACGGCGACGCCCCGACCCCGGGCGTCCGGAACCTCACCTGTCCACGGCGCCACAACAGTGGCCCCGGCGCGGCCCGCTCCGCGCTGGGCTTCCGGCTCCCGCCCGGACTGTTAAACTTGGGCGGCCGGAAGTCCCGCCCCGTGACGACAGCGGGCGAGGCGCGCCTGGTATCCGGGGATCGTCCGCGGGCCGGAGCAGGGCGTGAGCGCGGGCGGAGGCGCCTGCTGGGGCGGTGTCGCCCCTGGGGCGTTATCCCAGCGTCGGGACGCCCTGGCGACCGAGCTCCGGCTCTAGCATCTGCTTCTTTGTCATTCATTCTTTTGCTGACTGCCTACTGTGTGCCAGGCACTAGGCCAGACTCTGGGTGTACAGTGATGGGTTTAACTTGGAGACACACCGGTGCAGTGAACGCTCCTGGTCCCTATGCTCCTGGAGCTCACAGTCCACTAGATGAGGCTGATATTAATAAACAATTGGATACTTAAATATAAAGGGAAACTAACAAGCGCTACAAAGGAAAGGTTTATAAGATGGACAAAGGCCCATAATAATAAAGAAAGAAATGTGCTTGTGAATTTAGGAAAGGATTACCTGAACAGGAAGTCATGGAGAGCCAGTAATACCACCTACCATTCACAAACCAGGAAACGCAGTCAAGCTAAGAAGTAACCCAAAGAGCGTCTGAGCTAAGTGACTTCAAAACCCATAACCTTTCTGTCGCATCCCGCTGCAGGTTCAGGAACGTCAAACATCATCTGATTGGGAATTCTTCTAAAGGGAATGCGTTTCAAGGTGGAAAAGGGAGTTGTTGAGCTGAGTTTTCAAATGCACTTTCCAACAAGGCCTTTTAGAGCCCTCCTGGCAAATTTTGCTGAGAATACTTATCATAAACATAGGGCAGCTCTTAGGTAAACAGTGTTGTTATACTTTCATCGCAAGTACGCATTAAATGTGTTTCTGAACGTTACGTTTGCCCTGGATATTTGCATCCATATTGCAAATAATCGAAAATTTTTATTTATTTATTTATTTGAGACTGTTTAGCTATGTTGCCCTCCTACCTGCCCACAGGTAGAGTGCTGTGGCATCACAGTTCACAGCAACCTCCAGCTCTTGGGCTTAAGCAATTCTCTTGCCTAATCCTTCCTAGTAGCTGGGACTATAGGCGCCCGCCACAACGCCCGGCTATTTTTTGGTTGCCGCTGTCATTGTCGTTTAGCAGACCTGTCGGGGGTCCCATGCGCCAGCCTCATTGCATGTGGCCAATGCCCTACTCACAGAGCTACAGGTGCTGAGCCAACTGACAAATTTTAATAAGCATTTTTTTTTCAGAGAAGAAATTGAAATTCTAACCAAGTTGGGAGGTTGATGGGAAGCAGCAAAAGGAGAAAAACAGGAAGTAGCAACTACCTTAATTGCACAGGGTGTAGTGTTGTTTTTTTTTGTTTTTTGTAGTTTTTGGCTGGGGCTGGGTTTGAACCCACCACCTCCGGCATATGGGGCTATCACCTTACTCCTTTGAGCCACAGGCCCCACCCTGAGGTGTAGTTCTTGAGGTCATGAAATTTTAATTTTGGCAGGGATGGGACAAAAGAAGTCAGGAATTGAGAAAGTAAAGGGCTGAGGGACGGAAGAATGCGTATGAATGAGGAAAGGAAACCTTAAAACAGAAAGGAAAAGTAAACCTCTGACAATTGAAGACAGCAGGGAAATTGAGACCAACTATTTGAAAAACTATATGACATAAAATACATATCGTAATATATATTAGATGATATAATGGTAGATATTACATATAAAAATAGATATTTCTTGAACACATGCTCCTTGCTAAGCACTATTGTTATGTGTATAGATATAATGTGTATATGAGTGTGATGTATTATAATTTCACCCTTCTAAGAACTTGTGAAGTATATACTATTGAGTGCATCCACTTTAAATATGAAGAGACAGAGGTTAAGTAACTTACTCAAGGTCATACAGTTAATAAATGGTAGAGACAGAAATTGAGCCCAAAACACTACAAAGAATGTGCTCCAAATCATTAATGCTACAAAGTCAACAGCCAAGATACATTATAACAAGCCAAAAGAAAACCTCTACTCCTCCCTCCTCACTGGTGCTATAGCCCCTTATTATATGGGTCTTCTCATTCTTGTTCCAACGTGCATACTATGCATACACACTTACTGTTTCCTTAGTCTACAAACAATAGAAGCCAAATATTGGAAGCCTTGCTAATAGGTACATATAAGAATTGTATAGACAAATACAGTTTTTTGAAAGCAGACATCAAAATGAGTAATATTTGTATACACAAAGAGAAATATTTTTATAACTATAAAAGTATAAGTAAAATTAGAATCTGTGTCAACTATAAAGTTAGGTGCAAACAATAACAGAATTTTTTTTTTTTTTTTTTTTAGAGACAGAGTCTCACTTTGTCACCCTCAGTAGAGTGCTGTTACGTCACAGCTCACAACAATCTCCAGCTCTTGGGCTTACACAATTCTTTTGCCTCAGCCTCCCAAGTAGATGGGACTACAGGCGCCCTCCACAACACCTGGCTATTTTGTTGTCATTGTTGCAGTTTGGCTGGGGCTGAGTTTGAACCCACCACCCTCCGCATATGGGACTGGTGCCCTACTCACTGAGCCACAGGCAGAATTTTAAGTATGTGAAGAATGAATATCAAGGATAAAGGGGGAAAAGGCATATCAGTAATCATCGCTGAAGACTTCAACAGAATTCTCTCATAAGTTAATAGAACATACAGATCAGGGAAAAAAGTAAAGATATGGAAGATGTAGATACTATCAATTATTATAACTGACCTTTATAGAACACTATACCCAACTACGGCAGGCTAAGTTTTTTTTTTTTCAAATATACATGGAAAATTTACAAAGATAAAGTATATGCTGAGCCATAAAACAAGTCTTAATAGATTTAACAGAATAACTCTTACAGAGCACGTTCTCCAACCACAATAGTATTAAACATAAACAGCAAACAATAACACATTTAGAAGAGCTCCAAACAGTTGAAAATTAAACAGCTTTACTTCTAAATAACTCATAGATCAAATAAAAAATTAGAAAATATTTGAACTGAGTGATAAGTAAAATGCAACAAATAAAAACCTATGGGAAAGGGGGAGGGGAAAATATCCTATGGGAAAAGCTAGCACAGGGGTTACAGAGAAATACTAAAAGTTTATATTACAAAAAGAAAGGTCTAAAAGCAACTACCTATGCTCTTTCTTAAGGTACCTAGAAAAAGAACAAATGAAGCACAAAGATTAGAGTACAGAACAAAGAATGTGTTGAGCAAGTTCAGCTTACTGAGCTGAACAATAGAGAAAAATCAGTGAAACCAAAGCTGATTTTTTTGAAATGACTAATGGAACTGAAAAATCTCTTGATAAATTAACAAGAAGAAAGAAAAAATACAGACGACCAACATCAAGATTGAAAGTGAAGCCATCAATACAGATCTAAAGGACACTTAAAAAGATAATGAGAGAATAGCACGAACAATTCTATACCAATAAATTTGTTAAATAAAATGATCAAATACCTTGAAAGACACAAATATTAAAGGTGACACAAGAATAAATGGATTCTACACTTATATGAGTAGTCCTAAAGATACCACAGAAATTGAATTCAAAATTAAGAAAAGTTATTTATAAAGAAATCTCCAGGATCAGATGGGTTTACTGTTGAATTTCACCAAAACATAAGGAAGAAAAATACCAACCTAATACAAACTTTTTAAGGAAACAGAAGAGGAAAGAATATTTTTTAGGGTGTTGTTATTTTGGCACTAAAACCAGACAAAGATGGTACAAGAAATAACCATAGACTCATATCCCTCATGCGGAGAGAAAAAAAAATTATATATGCTGTGTATGATATATGCAAATTAAATCCAGTAATGTATTAAAAGGTTTATACATCATGACCAAGTGAGACTTGTTTCAGAAATGTAATATTGGTTTAACATTAAAAATCAATTAATATAATTTACCATATTAATAAAATAAGAGAGAAAAGTCACATACAGGTTACAAACAAGATAGGTTCTATTGTTTTGTTTTTAAGTTGAATTTGTATGTAAGTTGAAACGGGTACATTTACCTATTACCTGTAATAGCCTCCATTCATAAGTTCAAGTTGTATGTCAGTCAGATGTTTGTAACTCAGGGACTTACTATAATAGCCTCTGTAAGTGCAAGGTGTATATAAGTCAGGAACATCCTGCGATTATAGTACTAGATGAAGCAAAAGCATATAAAAAATTCCAACATTCTTCCACGATTAAAAATGCTCAGAAAACTAAGAAAAGCAGAGGGAACATCCTCAAATGGTTCAAGGGCCTCTAAGGGAAGCTCGGAGATGGCCACTTAATGGTGAAAGACTATAGGTTTTTTTCCTAAGATGAAAAACTCTACAAGGTCTACAAGTCTCACTGCTATTATTCAACATTCCTCTGGAGGCCCTAGCCAATGTAATAAGACAAGAAAAAGGAAAAGAAGGAGAAGGTGAAATAAGAGAAGGGGAAAGAGAAGAAGAAAACAGCCTACAGAAAGGAAAGGAAGAAGCAAAACTCTGTTGAGACAATATGTTTGTGCACTGGGAAATCATAAGGAATCAAGAAAAAAGCTCCTAGAGCTAATAAGTGGATTTAGCGAGGCCTATGCAAGCTCAATATTTCTTTATACTAGCAATGAACCTTGGAAAATGAAAAAATATATAATTCCATTTCTAATAACACCAAAAACCATAAAATATTTACACATACCTTTGATAAAGTATGTGCAATAATTGTTCATTGAAAACTATAAAACATTACTGAGATAAAGACTTAAATAAAGGGAGACCTTTATCACATTCATGCGTTAGAAGCTTCAATGTTGTTACAATGTCAATTTTTTCCCAGATTAATCTGTATATTCAACCCCATTTCCACAAAATTCCAGCAGCCCTTTTTCTGAACAAATAGACAGGCTAATTCAAAAATTTGGAGTGAGAATGATACAACCCAAACAACTTTTTATAAAAGAAAAGTGAGAAGGTCTACACCTAATATTAATCTATATTTAATGCAAAC